AGGGGATAGTATGGGTTCAAGGTTTAAAGAGTATCTCAGGGCAATAGTCTCGGGAGTTCTCTAGTCTTAACTGGTCTACAAAATCTGGATTTTTTAAGAATTTGAGGTTTTGTTCCACATTTTAAAACTCTATCAAGAAAGTGAAAAGATAACCTACAGAATGGGACAAAATATTTGCAAATCATATATTTGATAAATGTCTAACATTCAGAATATATACAGAACTCCTACAGTTTAACAATAAAAAGACAACCCAATTAAAAATGGGCAAAGAACTTGAATAGACATTTCTCCAAAGATACACAAATGGCTAACAAGCACATATGAAAAGATGCTCAACATCAATAGTCATCATGGAAATGCAAATCAAAACCACAACGAGATACCACTTTGCACACACCAGGATGGCTATCATCAGAAAGAAGGAAAGTAAGTGTCGGTGAGGATGTGGAGAGATCAAAACCCTTATCCGTTGCTGGTGGGAATGTAAAATGGTGCAGGTGTTTTGGAAAACAGTTTGGTGGTTTCCATTTCCTCATAGTTACCATACAGCCTATCACTTCCACTTCTAGGTATATATCCAAGAGAAATGAAGACGTATGTCCACACATAAACTTGTAACACATTTTGTAGCAGCATTATTCATAATGGCTAAAAGGTGGAAACCACCCAAATGTCCAACAAAATATGGTATATCCATACAGTGGAATATTAGTCAGCCAAAAACAGGATAAAATATTGATACATGCTACAACATGGACGAACCTTGAAAACACTACGCTGAGAGAAAGAAGCCAGACATGAAAGACCACACACTGTATGACTCCATTCATCTATGTCCTGAACAGGCAAATTCATAGAGTCAGAAAATAGGTAAGTGACTGCAGGGGCTTGAGGAAGGGGGTACTGGGGCTAACGGGTATAGGGTTTCTTTTTGGGGTGTTGAAAATGTTCTGAAATTAGACAGTGGGCATAGCTTCCAAACTGTGCGAATATATAATTGAAATGTATATTTTTAAAGAATGACTTTTATGGTAGGTGAACTATATAGAAATAAAAAAATCTAAAAAGTGGAGTTAGAAATGACCCTTTAAAAATCCAAGTTTTATCTTTAAAGGTTTGTTTTGGATAATTTGGATGAAAATGAGAATCTTATGTATATGTGTTTTTAGTTAAAAAAAATTACATTACCTCTCTTTATAACTCCCCTCAATCCCCCTCAAAAAAGAAACAAAACCATACCCCCTTGCTTCTAAGTAGTATCATTTTATTATTACAGATACATTATTTTAATAATTTCTTCAAGGAAAACCAACTGCCATGGTTAAGTTTTGAGACATCAGAAACCACTCACCTGCTGTTTTGTACTCTTGTTGGTTTTGACTGAATAGTGGATATCCTTCATGGCTCTCTCAATAAGGATGACAGTGTATGGTCTCTTTGTTTCAGGATTCACACATTTGTCTGCTACAATAGTTGCAATGTCCCGAAACATCTGCTCCAGCTGTGTGTGCCTTTCTTTATCAGATACTTGAACCTCTCCTTTAGTCAAAATCTAGGGGAAAAAAAAAATTAAGAAATCAATGTCTTTCTTTGTTATACACTATTTGCTAACTAACTACAAGAATTGATAACTGAGGAAGAAAACAAAATTTCATCCTTTCCAGCTGATATGCAGGTAATGATTTGAGCTTTGCCCAAAGGATGCACTGGATTATCATATGCTCCAAAAATCTGATTTACTTAGAACCAGTGGTGGCAGGGAAAAGGCAATCTTAGCAAAGGGCCTAAATGATAAAACACTTAAAAAAAAAGAAAATCTATTTCCAGATATAACATGTTTAAAAAATATATAAATGTGCAAAAGAAGATAATTTAGTACAAAACTTAATTTCTGAAGGTTTTGACAAAAAAAAAAAAAAAAAAAAGCACATCCTGAATTATTAAAAGTTAAGTTATGCAGTGCTCAGCTTCTAATCAAAAGGTCAGTGGTTTGAACCTTCCCAGTGGCTCTGTGGGAGAAAGACCTGGCAATCTGCTCCCGTAAAGATTACAGCCTAGGAAATCCCATGGGACAGTTCTACTCTGTTCTACAGCGTCGCTATGAGTTGGAATTCACTTGAGGGCACCCAGCAATCACAACAACAAAATGCCCTCCCAGGCAGAACCCACCTGCTTACAGATTTCGGTCTGGTTGTCTGTTCCAAATGCACTGACAAGATCTTCCTTCTTTGCCACCTGACCTTTCGAGACATTCACAAACACTGAGTGGGTCTGCAGAACTTCATCAAGGTCTTTTTCCCTTGTGAGGGCAGGAAGAAAACCCTAGTGAAATTACTTGAAACTTGGACATTTATTCAAACTTAAACACAAGAGAACAACGATATAAAATAGCAAAAAACGACAACTAGTCCTAAGCGACAATGAGTGCATCAGAAACAATTTCAAAACTCAGAAGCGCATTTACATTCGCCTTTACTTATTGGGTGGAGCCCTGGTGGCGCAGTGGTTAAGAGCTTGGCTGCTAACCAAAAAGCCCGCAGTTCGAATGCACCAGCCGCTCCTCGGAAACCCTATGGGGCAGTTCTACCGTCCTGCAGGGTCGCTCTGGGTCGGAATCGACTCCATGGCAACGGGTTACTCATTGGAGAAAAACGTCAGAAAAGTATTATGAAACGGGGGCGGGGATGAGGGTGTGCGGGTAGGCGGGGCTGTGCCAAGGAATACCGATCCCTAGATGGCGGCAGTGAAGACACTACGCACTTAGGTCAAACTACTGGCGCTGACATCACACAGACTATAACCATGAAAGTATTCGGAAGACTAGGCTTTTAGCTTTTACTGTTATTCCGGAAAACGGACTATAACTATGGGATTTCTTGGTTGGGTCTCTTATGACACGAACAAAATAAAACCCGAAACCAAACAAAGAGGACCCTTTAGCTCAGGCACCAAGCTCGGGAAGGACAGTGACCTCTCAAGCTCCCAGCAGAAATACGTTTTCTATTTCCTTCCCTTACAAGACCCCAGCTCGGCCCACCCATTCGACTGGACCAGAGGCAGGCTGCGTAGGGGACTCCCGACTTCGCCCAGGGCCGCGAGAAGAGGGTGACTCACACGCCGCTGCGCCAGCCGACGACCTTGTTTTTGTAGCAGGCGATTTCGAAGCGCTTCCCGGCGCGCTTCATCCGCACCACAGCCACATTGGTCAGACGTATCTGGTTGGTAGGGGTGAAGATCGACATGGTGGCTGCTCACAGGTCTCGGGTCTGGCGATCCAAGGTAGACCCGGGCCCGGGCCCGAGGCCACCGTGACAACCCCGCGACACTGGCGCAATAACGACCGCAGAGCGCTCGCGGCGTCAAGTAACTCAGCCCCGGAGGCCGCCACAATGCACCCAGCTGACTTAATGCGCAGGCGTTAGGTGGTGCGGCTGCAGGGCGAGGAAAAGTTGGCAACAGCGCCTGCGCGTTTTGGCTTTTACGCCATCACTCCGCGCCGTAAAAGAGAGGGGCTTTTCCTTGCTCTACTTTACTTCTGCCAATGAGCTTTGATGAAGCAGTGGTTTGATGTTGGACTGGTGAAACGAAGTTTAGCTACCGGGTGGAAACACAACGCTGGTGCTGCATAGTTCAGAGGTCACACCCACTTTAACCTTTTATTACGGCAAAATTTGACATAACGTAGAGAAAAAAGTATAACAAACCCACACATACCCTTTACGCCACTTTAACTGTTATCAACGTTTTGCTATTCTCCTTTCCTCATTTTTTTGTTAGAATATTTTGAAGCAAATCATAGTATGGTTTCAGAATTAAATACTTCAGTATGTTCCCTAACAGATAAACCCAACAGGATTAACCACAATTCCTTAATATCATCTAGTAGCCAGTCCATAACCGTAAATAATGCCTTTTTACAGTCGATTTGTTCCAATTGGGACCCAGTGAACCCCACACATTGCATTTTGTCCACGAGTCCCTTAAGTCTCTCTTTTCCAATTCAACAATTTTTAAGTGTATAATTCAGTGACACTGATTACATTATGCATGTTGTGCACTCATTCTTGCTATTCTTTTCCAAATCATTCCACCACTATTAACATAAATTCAATGCCCAATAAGCAAAAATCTCCCTTTCCCTCTTTCTCCCACTCCTGATAACCACTAATAATCTTTGGTTTCTATGTATTTGCTTACTTCATAGAAGTGAGATCATAGAGTAGCTATCCTTTTGCGACTGATTTATTTTGTGCGGTATGATGTTTTCAAGGTTCATTTCATGTTGTAGCATACATCAGGACTTCATTTCTCTTTATGGCTGAGTAGTAAATAGTTCATTGTATGGAGATACCATATTTTGTTTATCCATTTATCTTAGAAGCGGGGATGGCGAGACTTCCTTTCACATACTTTGGACATGTTATCAGGGGGGCCTAGTCCCTGGAGAAGGACATCATGCTTGGTAAATTGTCAGCAAAAAAAAGGAAGACCCTCAGCGAGATGGCTTGACACAGTGGCTGCAACAATGGGCTCAAACATAGCAATGATTGTGAAAATGGTGCAAGAAGGGCAGTGTTTTGTTGTGTTCTCGCTGTGAGTCGGCACTGACTGAGCGGCACCTAACGACAACGGACATTTGGGTTATTCCCATTTTTTGGCTATTATGAAAAGTGCTATAATGAACATTGGTATACAAGTGTTTCCATATGTCTCTTTTAGTGCCCCCTTCTGCCACCTTTCTTCCCACATACCACTCATTTCTCAAAGAAACTGCCCTTGTCCTTTCAACAGCATGGCGATTGCCCAGTCTAGGAATGCCCTGCTGTGCCCGAGTTATGGGCGGTGCTTCCTTCCGGACCCGCCCCTTGCTCCTTGCACCAATCAGATTGGGACAAAGAACACTCCGGCTTCCAAGTTCCGAGATCTGGGCGGAGCTTCGCTCTGCGCCCGCCCCTTCCCCTTTTGAGCCAATCGGGCTGGACCTCAAGCATTCCGGCTTCCCTGCCCGGGAGTGGTATGGCTGCCCTCGGCTCTGCTGCTCCAGGCGTGCAGTTTACGCTGTGCGATAGCTAGGGCTGTCTCCCGGTACCCTCGGCAGCCCCCAGACTCTCCAGGTCGTAGATCCTACTCTCCAGTCAGGTGGCAGGGCCCGAGCTCTGAGGAACATGGGTAAGGTCTCCCCGCGGGCAGGGGTCGTGGGGTGGAAGGGGAGGAAACCGTTTCCCTGGGACCCTCTCCCGGTGGAGTGGCGTTCTCGGGTTTCTTCAGAGATTGTTACACTTGTCCGCACCGGCCAGCCCCCGCTGGGAGGAACGGTGGACTGAACCCTCCTTTTGACCTGGCTTTTGCCTCTTGAATCTAGTAAGTGAGTTTAGAAGGAAACTACGCCTCTAACCCCAAATAAAAGTCAGAGAAAACTGTCTTCTCTTCTCCTTATCCACGTGTATTGGGACGTTTGATCCTTTCCAGGGTACAGGAGCACCTGTAAACCTCTTATTTTTGGCTTCGCCTTTTGATACTGCCCCCAAGTTCAACAATTGAAGCTAGGTCCCTGAGTATCTCTCTTCAAAATATGGGTCCTGAGGTCAATTATTTGAGAACCCTTCACAAGTAGCCACAGGTCTTTAAAACATAAAATTAGGAAAAATTTTACAACTCTTTTAAGCTTTTCTTATGGAGCAATCATAACAAAGCCAAATTAACTTGTAATTCCACGTCAAGGGTTTTCATTTTATGTTCTCTTGCTTTCAAATGCTTATGTCCCCATGAAGGTACAATTTCATAGTCTGCTTTATTTTGAGTTTGCATCATCATTATGATTAACTGTCATGTTAACATATAGTATATTATTTTTATTAGAGTTGATTTTCTATAGGTTTCTTAGCCAGGTTGCTGAATATGAAGAGTGGTTTTATTTTTTTGTTCTTAAAATATGGATGAACACCTTTATATATGTAACTTTTAACAAAACTGTATATGTTAGAATAACAATGAGCATCATATATGTAGTTTTTAACAAAACTCTGTGTATATATTGTTTTAAATTTAGATCCTTCTTTGGATACGTGGAACTTCTCCTCACCTTTAATATCATTATGGATAAACAGGTTTTACATATATTTGGGCTTTGCCTTTGGTATTAGCCTTTGGATCTGTGTCCAGATTGTCCTCAAGAAGCAGGTAAGTGGAGTTTGGTTTTTTTTTTTTTTTTAATAACAGGATGTTTATGCATCAGATTTTGTAGAGAATTTACAATGCAGAATTGCTAAGGCTTTCAGAAAAATACAGAAAAATTTCAAGGAACTTTAAATCACTTTCATCTTTGGTACCTAGACATTTTTTTATGTCTGAAATTTTTCTAAGTTATTAGAGATTAAGTTTATGGATTAAGTTATTTATTTTTTCTTTGATGGGCTGTGGATGTCTCATTCTTAAGATACAGGAAGATTTTGTAATGAAAAATTCAACTTTGTGGGAGCCCTGGTGGTGCAGTGGTTAAGAGCTCAGCTGCTAACCAAAAGGTCAGCAGTGCGAACCCACCAGCTGCTCCTAGGAAACCCTATGGAGCAGTTCTACTCTGTCCTATAGGGTTGCTATGAGTTGGAATCGACTTGATGGCAACGGATTTGGTTTGGCTTAGTCCTCTCTGTCCTTTCCGTTAATTAAGAATAGAAAAATATAAGTCCCCAATGTTATTCTACACGTTATGAATGAAAGTATGTACAGTTTTACTGTGGAGGGAATGGAAACCATGTCTTATGAAACGTGGGTCTTGCCTTTGAAGGACCTGATTATACAAGGGCTAATATTTGAGGAGGGAGTCCTGGTGGTGCAGCAGTTAAGCGCGGGGCTGCTAACAAAGGTCGGCGATTTGAGCCCGCCAGCTGCTCTGTGGGAGAAAAGACTTGGTGATCTGCTCTCGTAAAGATTACAGCCTAGGAAACCGTATGGGGCGGTTCTGTTCTGTCCCATAGGGTCACTATGAGTTGGAACAGACTCGATGGCAATGGGATGGGTAATGTTTGAGGAATACAACTGGAAAGATTAACATAATAATAAACTGGGTCAGTATCTGCTAATTTTCATCCTTGCTGAAGTTGGGGAAAGATTCAGATTTGATAGAGAGTATATGCAGTTGTTTATTTTCAAGGATAAGAACTCACAGGAGAAATCTGTTCCAAAAGTCACTTGGGATCTGATGACAAATGGTTCTGTCTCCCATCAAAAGAGGGAAGTCTTTGTGTCTGGAGTGAAGATTTTCTATGGTTCCCAGACTGGAACAGCAAAGGTAAGAATTGTATATGGTGCTTTTCCTCGGGTCTCCTGACTTAAAAGAAATTCTGAAAAGTGTTAGTCTTGTTTTTCTTCCTTTTTCCATCATACATTTTTCATTTCTGGGATGGTGGGTGAGTTTTAGCTCTTGTGCCCAATTCTAGGTGATTGGTTCTGTCTGGTGGCCACAGTCACGAAGCTTGCACCTACCTCAGCAGGATGGGGAGAGTTCTGAGTCCATTACTGATGCCTGTGGGCATAGGACTAGGGGGCAGGGAAAAGAGAATGGCAGCAGTCTTGTCCAGGACAGACTCCAACATCTATTTAATGAAATACTTTCTAACTTCCAGTAGTGTTAAAAGTGTTAAAGGTAGAGTACTACTTAAAGTAGATGTAGCTGAAAGATGTTTCCTAGTCTCTGACTGTATCTAGATGCTTCCTGCTTCTTTGTTACAAATGTCACAGCTATTTAGTGCTTTCTAGGAAAGATTCTAAGTAAGGCTAAGATGAAACTGAATTAAAAAAAAAAATCAAGGACTGTTATTTTCGTATTCTAGGAGCACTTAAGGAGAGGATTTTACTGCCATCTTGTGGATGTTATTTAGAATAATACTTTTTAGGTTTTTGATATGATTACATTTGCTTCATATCATAGATGAAGGTCACTTATTTAATAAATTCAAACTAAAGCAACAGAGGTGGGAAACCGGAAGAAAGGCAGAAAAGGCGTATGAACAGCCAAAACAAAGTCCTTTTACGTTATTCGTGTTGTTGTTATTAGGTGTCGTTGTTTTCGACTCATAGCAACCCTATGTGACAGAATAGAACTGCCCCATGGGGTTCTCTGGGCTGTAGTCTTTACAGGAGCAGATTGTCAAGGCTTCCTCCCGCAGTGCTGCTGGGTGGATTTGAATTGCCACCCTTTTGGTTAGCAGCCTCTTTTCCCATTTGTGCTGCCAGGGCTCCTTATGTTACTCAGAAGAGACTTCACTCAAAGTCTCATAATAAAAAGTACTCTCCGAAGAACCTCCATTAATATTTTGATTTTTAGTTCCTCTGGTGGTTATTTAACTATGTAATTTACTTATGCTGCATTTCTAGGTTTATTAACTTTGTTGTAGTTGGTTGTTGTCAAGTTGGCCCCACTTCATGACAACCTTTGTATGAGATATTGCCTGGTCCTGTGCTGGCTGACTGTGAGCCCAGAGGCTCTCTGGGGTCTGTGAGGCATATGAACTCCCACCGGGGCATCCTCCCATCTGTCAGCCACACCTGTGTGGTTTCTATCATCCAGAAAGGTGTTAGCATTTCTCGTTCCATACTGATCTTCCCCCTAGTTCATTCTCTTCACTGCTCATTGTTCCTTTTTGAATTTCTATATGTTTATTTTAGCAGGGCAAAACAGTTCACATGTCTAAAAGCCAATATAGATACTTTAGCCCCATATGCACTTATGGAGTGAGAACAGTTGTTGAATGATTGATCTTTATAATGCTGCTGGAGAAAATGGTAAAAGAATAGTATTTGTGTTTATTATAATATAAGTCAGTTAGTTGGAGAAGCTTTTCATGAGGAATGCCTCATTCCCTCCCAATGGTACAGTGTAAAGGAGGACTGTGTTTTGCTTCTTTGGCTTATTGAAGACTTCATATGATTTTTTTCCCCATTAGGGATTTGCTGAAGTTCTTGCTGAATCAGTTACCTCCCTTGATCTGCCTGCAACGATTATTAATTTGAAAGACTATGATCCAGATGATCATCTAGTGGAAGAGGTTGGTAATTGTCTGATTTCTTTCTTCAATCAAAACTCTCAAATTTAATTGACCTCCTATTTTCATGGATAAATAGAATTTTCAGAATAAATTGAGTTTTCGTGCTAAGGAATTTCAGTTGGTTGAATTTTCAGTGTGAATCAGAGGCTTTAAATGTATGGTTTGCATTGATTCTAAAGCGGGCAGGCCTGCCTGTCTGGTGTGTTAGATTCTTCTGAGGCGGGGTAGGTGTGGGAAAGCTTGGGTGGTCTGACGTCTCTCCCACCCCTTGGAATCTCAGAATAAGGTTGTTATTGATGGCAGTGTTCTGTGCATATGAACCATGTGTGAGCTGACCAAAGGTCGAGAGCTGCCTTTTAGAAGGAAGAGTATGGGTTTTGGAGTTAGACAGTCTCTTAATAGCTGTGTGACCTAGATGTGTTACTTCATTTCACCTGAAAAGTACTCCTCCCGTCTTCCAGTCAGGCCCAGTGATGGGAGTTTGCCTTACGGGAGTGGTTCTCAAGGTATGATCCCTGAACCAGTAGTATCGGCATTTCCTGGGAACTTGTTAGAAATGCAGATTCTCCGGCCCTAGCCCCACTGAGTCAGAAACTGTGGAGGTGGGACTGTGTTTTAACAAGTGTTCCAGATTCTGATGCAGCTGAAGTTGGAGAAGCACTTGGAGCAGGGGTTGACATGCTTTTCCTGTAAAGGGCCAGTGAGTAAATACCCAGCTTTATGGGCCATATAACTATTCAGCTCTGCCACTGAAGCACCAAACAACTGTAAACCGCCAAAAAACAAACCTGTTGTCATCATGTCAATTCTGATTCATGGTGACCCCATGTGTTACTTAGTAGAACTGCTCCATAGAGTTTTCTTGGCTATAATCTTTACAGAAACAGATCTCCAGACTTTCCTCCTGCAGTGCCGCCGGGTGGGCTCAAACGCTAACCTTTATTAGCACCTGATCACAAACTGCATGCACCACCCAGGGACCTAAAATAGCCATCGACAATATGTAAACGAATTCGTGTTCCAGTAAAACTTTATTTACAAAAATGGGCACTGAGCTAGATTTGACCTGTGGATTGTAGTTTGCTGGGCCTTTCTTAGAGGATAAACTTTTAGCTGTAACTCTCTCTTTCTTACTCATGAAAATATGTTGGAGTGCAAGTGAGTGACCTTGAATCTGCTCTTAATTATTTATGAAAAACTATTGTTGAGCTTCGATACTTTATTATTAGTAAGATTACTTGTGGGGAGCCTGGTGGTGCAGTGGTTAAGAGCTATGACTGCTAACCAAAAGGTCAGCAGTTTAAACCCACCAGCCTTTCCTTGGAAACCCTGTGGGACAGTTCTCCTCTGCTTTGTAGGGTCACTATGAGTTGAGATTGATTCAATGGCAGTGGGTAAGGTTACTTGTAACTTACCTCGTGCCTTGGGACTGTTAAGATATATTCAAGCAGATGGAATACTAGGGCCAGCAGGGCTGGAGGAGTTTCTGCATGGAGCAAATGATTAAGCACTTGACTGCTAGCTAAAAGGTTAGCAGTTCAGATCCACCCAGAGGTGCCTCGGAAGTCAGGCCTGGTGATCTGCTTCTGAAAGGTCACAGCCTTGAAAACCCTGGGGAGCAGTTCTACTTGCACACAGGGTCACCATGAGTTGGAATGGATTCAACGGCAGCTAATGACAGCAACAAGAAGGACTTGGGATGTATTTTGTCTCCCCATGTAGATGATAGTGGCCAGTGTTGAGTTATTTTACATTTGGTGGTTTTGTTGCTTTAATTTTTCAGGTGAATTTTAAGAGAGCTCTTTCTGTATTTTTTTTTTTTTTTCCTGACTGATTTGCACTTTTGTTTCCAATCAGAGATGATAGGACTCTATTATTTGAAAAATGGAATAGATTATTTGGTGATTAAATACATTTCTAATATTTTTCTGAAATACTTTCTTGGTTAGGTTACTAGTGAAAATGTCTGTGCCTTCCTGGTTGCTACGTACACTGATGGTCAGCCAGCCGAGAGTGCTAAGTGGTTCTGCAAGTGGTTGGAGGAAGCAGCCAATGATTTTCGATTTGGCAGAACTTACCTGAAGGGGATGAGATACGCGGTGTTCGGCCTGGGAAACTCTGCCTACACAAGCCAGTTCAACAAGGTATGTTGAATTATAGGGATAGATTTTCCTTTAATTAAAAAAAATTAAGCACATGTGTTTATGGAATAATTCACAATTGTTGGTACTTAATAATAAATTTCTGTGTTATTCTTTATAGCTGGGGGTTGCTACACATATACATCCAAGCTGGGCATAGTAGTTGTTGTTGTTAGCTGTGGTTGAGTCAGCACCCGACGCGGGGCGACCCATGCACAACAGGATGAGATTATTTTGATCCAGAGGGCTTTCATTGGCTGATGTTTGGAAGTAGATTGCCAGCCCTTTCTAGTCTATCTTAATGTGGAAGCTCCACTGAAATCTGCTCAGCATCATAGCAACCCCCAAGTCTCCACGGAGGAACTGGTGGTGGCTGCACATGAGGTGAATTGACGAGGAATCGAACACAGGTTCTCCTGTGTGGAAGGTGCGCATTCTACCGCTGAACCACCAGTGCCCTCTGTGTTGTAGGTTCTCAATGAATTGGCGTTGAATAAGATGAACGCGCATACGCCGCGTGGTGTCCGTGGCCTACACTCAGAGCCTGTCACGTGCAGCCTCCCGTCCCCACGCAGCACCTTGTGGCTGGAAGGTCACTGGTTCTTTGGACTTTTCCAGTGGCTTGTTCTGTGGCTGGACAGCCTTTAATGCCCAAGCTAAATCTTAATATAATTGAACTCATTTTCTTTAAATCATTAATTTTTAAAGGAAAATAAAAGGGTAAACATTCAGTGCGTTTTATGTAATAAAACTTACTGCTGATTGTATTTTGCTTTGTTTTCCTGGGTCTTTTTTTGCAAATGAAATTAACTTGACTTCCTTTCTTCCGCGTTCTATTTTCTAGACTTCAGAAAGGTGTAGCGTCTTAGATTCGTATTGCTGCTAGTTGCCATGATCATGGTGACCCATGTGTTATGGAGTAGAACTGCCGCATAGGGCTTTCTTGGTTGTGATGTAATCTTCATGGAAGTGAATTCCCAGGCCTTTTCTTCTGTGGTACTGCTGGGTGGCTTTGAACTGCCAACCTTTAGGTTAACGGTCTAGCACAAACCATTTGCACCACCGAGGGACCTTAGATCCTTAGTAATTCTAAAAAACTGCCAGAACTTTTATATGTGTACCTCTCCCTATATACAAGGAGGTTTGGTGGCACAGTGGTTAAGTGCTTGGCTGCTAACTGAAAGGTCGGCAGTTAGAACTTACCAGCTGCTCTGTGGAAGAAAGATGTGGCATTCTGCTTCTGTAAAGACTACAGCCTTAGAAACCCTATAGGTAGGTCTACTCTGTCTTATAGGGTCACTGTGAGTTGGAATTGACTCCATGGCAGTGGATTTGGTTTTGGGTTTCCCTAGAAACAGGTTACAGCTTAGCTCACTTGTCTGTTGAAATGTGAGTCCTGGTGAAAGTGGGAGCCTTTCCTTAAAATTCTTTCATTCACTTGTTCTATCACTATGTAGACTCCCTCCCCCATATTTTCAAGGGAATTAGGCTAATAATGGTAAAATTTAGATATGTGTGTATTTTGTTTAATGCCTTCCCACTCAGGAAGGCTATTAAGTCTTTGAACACTTAGCTGTGCTTCTTGATAACCCCTGTGCCTCAGCTTAATTATTCATATTACAGTGAAATAAATTTTTGAATTTGTGGAGTCGTGAATCTTGCCAAATTGTTTCCATTTGCACTTTATTATTAAATATGTTTTGGCTTCATTACTTTTTTTTAAGGCATTAACCCTTTGTTTAGTAAAAACCTCATTCAGAAAATCAGAGTGTGTGAACTACAGCCCATTGGGGTTGAGCGGGCCTGGAGGGCTTGAAGCCCTTTACATGAGCCTGTCCCTTCACAGCAGCCCTTCCAGGTTGAGTGGGGCCTGGAGAGCTTGAAGCTCTTTGCACGAGCCTGTGCCTCCACAGCAGCCTTGACATGAGGCTCCGGAGGAACCCTGGGCTTTTGCAGAGCACCTCTGGACACCTCTGACTTAGCGGGTTGTGTTTTCAGCTCGTCTGTCCTTTTCTTGCAGGTTGGCAAAAATGTTGATAAGTGGCTCTGGCTGCTGGGTGCCCGTCGTGTGCTGACTCGAGGGGAGGGAGACTGTGACACGGTTAAGAGCAAACATGGCAGCATTGAAGCTGACTTCAGCGCTTGGAAGACCAGGCTCACCTCCCGGCTGCAGGAGCTTCATCAAGGAGAGAAAAAACCCTGTGGCAGCAACTGCAAGAAAGGGAAATGCGAATCCGGTCAGCATGGCCCCGAGGGGCGGGAGCCGGGGCCTCACACTCTAGAGGAATCGCCCCACAGAGATGCTGAGGTGTGTAGCCGTCGGGGTGAACTGCCTTCCCTCCCATGTGTGGAGACACTGAGCCTGACCTCTGTCCTGAGAAGCAATTTCATTGGCTTCTGGGTAGAGGGAAGCATTGGTCCCTGGGTGGTGGTGTTTGAGGGTGAGTGTGGCCTTCGGAGTTAACCCACATTGTGCGGTAAGTTTTCCCTTAGCTCTTCTTCCGTCATCGTGTTGTCAGTTAGGTAGATTTTTATGTTTTGCTGGTTAGAAACAGGTTTCCCAGAGAGGTTAAGCATATCCAACATTGAGCTTATTATCCCCAAGCCATGTACATCTCTTGACTTCTCGTATTTAATCACTGTCAGTCACTCAGCTCGAAGGCCGAGAGCCGTCCTAGATTCAGCTCTCTTGACCCGTCATGTTCTAAACAGTTCAGCTCTGTCCCTTGCTGTTGTCTTCACCCCCGGTCACTTGTGTCATTTAGAAACAGCTTTGGCTTCTGACTCACTGTGTTTCTTTCTCCCTTATTCCAGTCATTCTTGTTTGTGGCCAACTCACCCAAGCACATGGTTTATGCAGCACCGGGGCCTGCCAGCTTCCTGGCCTGGCACCTCCGGCACCTTTTTCTTCACTGACTGGGGCTGCCTGCTTGCGTGGTTGGCTCTGAAATTTCCAGTTCCCTTTCTCTGGTCTCACTGTGATGCCCCTACTTCAGTGGTTCTTTTGATCCCATTCAATCCCATGACGTTTTCATTGGATACTGAAACTCCTTCCTTCACTTCACTTCATATCCAGTGTAGCTTTTTATACTCAATTACCTTACCTCTCAACTGCCTGTTTAACTTGAGTTGCCAAACCACAAAAACCAAAAACCCATTGCCATGAAGTCGATTCCGACTCATGGCAACTGCATGTGTTACAGAGTAGAGCTACTCCATAGGGTTTTCTTGGCTATAGGCTTTATGGAAGCAGATCTCCAGACCTTTCTTCTGTGGCACTGCTGGGTGAGTTTGAACTGCCAAGCTTTAGGTTAGTAGTTGAGTGCAAGCCATTTTGTACCACCCTGGGACTTCAGCCAAACTCCCTGGTGCCAGCTGCTTACTGTTTGACCACAGATCTGTGACTACGGGCCTCCAGTGGCATCAGAGCTGCCTGACAAGCCCACGACATTCCCTTTTAAGTTCCCTCTCACTGTCCAAGATGACTTTCCATACCCTTTTTCTCCCCACCCCTTTCCCCAGCTCTCCTCTGAAGCCATCAGAGGGCACCTAGCTTGTAATCAACCCTCAACCTGATCTACGAATCTTCACCTTCTTTGCTGTCACGGAAGATCAAGGATCCAGTCCTGTTAGAGGAAATTCCTGTCACGTTCTATGTGCGCTCTAGTATCGGGGGCTTCATTCCTTCATTTACTGCGTCTCTCTCCTGTGTCATTAATCGCTCCCTCTCTACTGGATTGTTCCCGTGAATGTGTACATAGGTTCTGGAATCACCCGTGTTCAAACAAATGCACAAACCAGAAAACAAATAAAAAGTAAGTTTTTCCTTTTTTCTGTCTCTTCCAGCTGCTATCCCATTCTTCATCTCTCTTTCATGCTGCTCTGTCTGTTTGTTTACATTTGCCTATCTTCCTTCCAACTGGCTCTTTTAATTTTTTTTTTTTTTAATCAAAAGTAACACTCATACATTTAAAACCTCAAATAGAACTACTGGACTTATAATTAAAAACAGTTTCTTGCTCTGTTCTATCTGATTCTTATTCTCCTAAGGCAACCACTTTCAGTTCTTTTTTGCTTTTTTCTTCAAGCATTTCTCTCTCTATATATGTGTGTATATGTATTTTTTTTATTGTACTTTAGATGGAGGTTTACAGAGAAAATTAGTTTCTTATTAAACAATTAGTACACATATTGTTTTGTGACATTGGTTGCCAGCTCCACAACATGTCAACACTCTCCCCTTAACCTTAGGTTTCTCATTACCAGCTTTCCCATCCCTTCCTGCCTTCTTGTCCTTGCCCCTGGGCTGGTATGCCCATTTAGTGTCATATTTGTGGTTGAGCTACATGTATTACTGTTTGTTTTATGGGCCTGTGTAATCTTTGGCTGAAGGGTGAACTTCAGGAGTGACTTCACTACTAAATTAAAAACGGTGTCTGGGGGCCATACTCTTGGGGTTTCTCCAGTCTCTGTCAGACCAGTAAGTCTGGTCTTCTTCTGTGAGTTACAATTTTGTTCTACATTTCTCTCCAGCTCTGTCTGGGACCCTCTATTGTGATCCCTGTCAGAGCAGTTGGTGGCAGTAGCCAGGCACCATCTAGTTGTGCTGGACTTAGTCTGGTGGAGGCTGTGTCCTTGTGGTCTCTTAGTCCTTTGGACTCATCTTTCCCTTGTGTCTTTGGTTTTCTTCATTCTCCCTTGCTCCAGATGGGGTGAGACCAGTGGAATATCTTAGATCGCTGCTCACAAGTTTTTAAGATCCCAGATGCTACTCACCAAAGTAGAATGTAGAACATTTTCTTTATAAACTACGTTATGCCAGTTGAGCTAGAAGTCCTCCGAGAGCATGGTCCCCAGTCTATATTTTTTAAGTAATGGGCTAATAGGCTCTTGCACGGACAAAGGGAGCCCTGGTAGTGCAGTAGTTAAGTGCTCGGCTGCTAACTGAGAGGTCAGCAGTTTGAACGCACCAGCTGCTCTGTGGGAGAAAGATGTGGCAGTCTGCTTCTGTAAAGACTACAGCCTTGGAGACACTATGGGGCAGTTTTCTCTGTCCTATAGGGTCGCTATGAGTCGGAATTGACTTGATGGCAATAGGAAACATGGACAAAGAAGAAAGTTCTGGCAATCTGCTACTTAAAATAGCTAATGAAAACCCTGTGGATCACAGCGTGCAGCATTTGCTTCTGTTGTGCATGGGGCCGCCATGAGCGGGGACCAACTCAATGGCAGCTTACAACAACGTCAACTGCTTCATTTTTTTTTTTCCCCAAAATCACACACAGACGTTCACACAGATATTCACTTCCCTCCCTCTTCTGTGTAGTTATATCACGCTTTAGATCATTATTAAGTCATTATTTGTTGTTTCATTCTTATGGTGTACAGATTGTCAGCTGTCCTGTGTACTACGTGTCTACGTTTTCAGTTTTACACGTTTATTTCTCTTGAGATGATAACTGCCACTTCTGTTTAGATTTCTCTATACCTTTCACTAACTCATTCCAGCACTTGAACAGAACTGACATTTTCTTTTAGTGTCCTGTCGTTTTCACTGATTCTTGGAGACCTGCCTCTGAGTCCTGCTCTGCCTGGACTCAAGCCCGGGGTCTTCCGTACGCGGATGCTCTGCATTTCTCTCGCTGGTCTCCTGGGTTGGATGTCCTGGTTCCTGGGCCCCATATCTTCCCCTTTCTTGATTGACTCTTGTTTTTTGGAGCCTGTTCTGTCGTTCTCTGAGGAAAGGTGCTTTGGAAGTGAACGTTCAGTCTTTTCATACCTGCATGTGTCTTCGTGTCTTCGTCCTGCCTTCACAGCTGATGGATGTTTGGCTGATAGAGAATTCTAAATGGGAATGGTTTTCTTCCGTTGTCCTTCAGTTGTGGTGTTGCTTTAGGGGACTCGAGTTTAATTTGATTCTTCATTCTTACTTCCCTTTACCCTCCTTCTGGAATCCTCGGACCCTCTGGGTAAAATCCCTCTAGCCATCTACCCTTCACTCTGTTCTCTGTCCGTCCTTCTTGCTTTCCCCTCCTTATACCAAAGATGTAGACTTGTGGGCCCCCAACTTTTGACTTGGGGCCTCTGTTAGCCTCTTCTCCTTGGAGCATCTCCTTGACTTTGCCTGCTGCTCCCCATGTCGTCTGCAGCTGTCACAGTAGCATCACCAGGGCTTAACAGATGCCCTCAGCTTCGTCTCTCACTTACCTCCCAGGATTTCCCCTTTCTGTTCATGTTTGGCTTCTTTGGATCTCTTAACTTTTTGCTAACTCAGTGATGCATTTAAAACCATGCTCTTTAAATATTACATGACTCAGTTTTAGCTGTTTTCTGCAGGAGGGTTTTTCAAGGTATGTAATCCACCATAGAGCTGGAAACAGATGTCACGGTTAACTCTCACCCAGTCTGCGGAGGTCGCTCTTTTCTAGGTCCAAGCAACTTCATGTTGTGAAGCCCCGTAGATATTTCTGCGTCCTCCTTTTACTTGGCCTCTCAAAAACATTTGACGTAGCTCCTAATTCTTTGACTCACTGTCTTCTCTTGACTTTCAGGACTTCATTCTCATGGTTTCCTCCTTGTTTACTTGAGGGCCTTTTCCTTCACCCAGTCTCTAAATGTTGGAGTGATTCATGGCTTAGTGCTGGCTTCTTTTCTTTACTGACACTTTTTTCCTTGATGATCTCATCCAGTTTCATGGCTTTGGACACTGTCTATTTGCTGGTTATTCCTAAGCTCGTATTTCCAGCCCTAAGGTCTACCACGAAGTCTGTTTTCATACGTGTGGTTACTTCCTTAACATCTCTATTTGGGTGTCTAAGGCATCTCAAGCTTCACACATCCAAAATGGAGCTCTTCATGTCCACGCTCCCAGTCTGTTCCTCTTCCCTCCTCCCTCCCCAGGCCATTCTCATCTTAGTAAACACCACCACCACCATCTCGAGTCCTTAAATAGGAAACTTTAAGAGCCGTGCTCAATTCAGTCTTTTCCCTCATTCCCATATCTAACTCCTCACTAAGTCTGGTCAGTTCTTTGTCTAACACAGAAGTCAGCAAATTTTTTCTGTAAAGGTCCAGCCAGTATTTTTGGCTTTGTGGTCATTTCTGTTACAACTGTCAACTCTGCCTGTGTATCAAGAAAACAGCCATAGGTAATGGGTAAATGAACGAGCGTGGCTGGCTTGGCCTGAAGCTGGCTGGGTTTGACCCTGGGCCATAGTTTGCGGGCCCCTGGCCTAAAATATCTTAAAAAAAACAAACAAACCCAGAAAAGCAAACCCATTGCCATTGAGTTGATTCTGACTTACAGTG